ATTTTTAGTCATCAAAGTATTATACGAAACCTACCCCCCCCCCACCCACACACACACCACCACCAGTGGCTGAGCGGTAATTCCGTGTGCTTTCAACGCTAAAAATCTGGTTTCCATACTCGTTGTGGGCAGAACACAGTAGCCCATTGTGTAGCTTTGTGCTTACCAAATAACCAATAAGTATTGTAAAAATTATTTATTTGTTTTGAAGGATTAGTAAAGCTATAAATAATGGTTTGTTATGCACATTTACGCAATAACCGAAAAAGTGCACAAAACGGTATAAGCTTGGTGTACTTATTGTTTTCATTAGCTTAATCGTGAATAATAAAGAAGGTCCCATGGTGAGACAACGGTAAGTTTACGGCCTTACAACGCTAAAACCCGGGATTCAATTCTCCGCAGTAGACACAACAGATAGCCCAATGAGGCTTTGATCTTATTCAAACAAGTGTGTAAAATTAAATGTTTTGTTACATTCCTACAGGAAAATCTGTAAGTATAAAACTTTCAAACTTACGTGTTTCGAAACTCGATAAAAGAAGTTTTGTTTATAATATAATGTAACCTCCGGCATTACGTTTTTCTGTAAGAAAACACTTAGATGAAAGTTACAGTTATTCTGTATCTAAGGTAACAGGTGTGGATACAAGTTCGTAAGCAGAAAAAAAGGCTAACTTTTCATCACCCATTTTAGACACATCATCAGCTGGTCTTTGGTCTTGCTTGACGAGAGAGTGAGAGGCTCCTGAATAGAAGGGTGTGAGGAGGGAATTTCTTTATCGTTCGTAAGCTTTAAGATGCTGTTCCTTTAATGTCATCTCCGTTTCGCTTGTCTGTGAGAAAACCACATCTGTTAAAAAGAACCAATATTGATGAAAACATTAGGAAAAAGATAAGACTCAACGAATGTCAGAAAAACAATAATGTGGTAATTTTAAACAGAACATAATATGCCACATAAACACAATTCTTATTAAGTTACTTTGATACGAACTCTGCATAAATATATAATTGAATTCTGAGGAATTTCTAAGTACTGTTTCTTGTGATTTTAAAAATTGTATTTTAATGCTAGGAAGAAAATGCAAGAAACTCTACATGTAGAAAATGTTTAACTTGTGTGTTGTGAAAATTGTCAAAAATACAGCTCTTCTTGAAATATGAAACAATAAGAAAAATCGAACTATCTCTTTTAAGAATTTGTTAAAATGTAGTCATTAGGACAATATAAGGCTTAGAATCGCAAACTTTAGACTAACAAACACACGCATATAACTAAAGCATTACCAGATGTGTCGCCATGGGCTGTAAAAAAAAAGCCTTTGTAGGCTATTATATAATTCTTTTTACCTTATCATGGAAATAAACCTAACAAAGAACGATTATATGATGTCTCTTCATCTGTAATTATTATATTCGTCAACTAACAGTTGAAGCCGACAGCCAGTGTTTCTGTGCACTATATTATTTATTTATTGTTATTTTCATTAATAGTATTTGTTATAGTACTTGATATATTGGATGTCATATTATTTTTTTTATTTGTTATTATTATACCATTATTATAAAAATTCCTTTGTTAACAGCGAGGGTATCAAACTAATGCATTCTAATATTTATAAGTAGAAACGTAATAAAAGTATATTAATTAGATATACTGGTTGCCAGGTTGATTTTTAGTTTCGCTCTAAGTACAGAGTTAGCTCTTAATGGAGGTTAATATTATTTACATTAAATTACATTAGTTTTTATACCGTGGGTTTATGGACCTGCTACGTTTTCTTCCTCAAAAACAGTTTTTCGTTTTCAATTTTCCTGCAAAAAGTTTCAACATTTTTTTTTTATAAAATGAAATATAAATTACACGTATTGTTGTTTGTTATATTTATAATTTTTTCGAAATAAAACCCAGCTACAGCTGAAAGTATTAACATATCGATTTATGTTTGTTTAAGCACAACTCTGCATAATGTCCTATCTGGATAGTGCCCACAGCAGGGAATGAACCCAATAGTTAGCATTACAAGCTATTAAGTCACCGCTGAACCTCCAGGGGATATAAGTTTATAATGAATTTAAAGTAGAAAACAAATCCACACAAAGAAACTAAAGCATAATACTCTAATTCAAGCTTAAATGGTCATATAGCTCTTTAATCACATCCTTAATATAAAATTGTGAATGTAAATACTTCGAGTGTCTTACCAGTTATGAAATTGTTTGATTTGAAACGATTTAGTTTATAATAAATTTTACTGTTACTTTCAACCCAAAAGTTAATAAATAAAGGTACTTCCGATATGGAAGAGCAATGCTCATGGAAACAAATATTAATCATGAAAACCTCTTAAGAAATATACTGAAAAAGCTACAACTGTCTACGTGTATTCTCGTCTCGGATAAGTTAATGCTAAAGTGGACTTTCGTCTCGAATACGTTAATACTAACGTGTATTCTCGTCACGGATAAGTTAATGCTAAAGTGGATATTCGTCTCGAATACGTTAATGCTAACGTGTATTCTCGTCACGGATAAGTGAATGCCAACGTGTACTGTCATCTCGGATAAGTGAACGCCATCGTCTACTCTCGTCTCGGATAAGTTATTGCCAACGTGGACTCTCGTCGCGGATAAATGAATGCCAACGCGGACTTTCGTCTCAGATAAGTTAATGATAACGTAGACTTTCGTCTCGAATAAGTTAATGCCAAAGTGTTTCTCTCGTCTCGGATAAGTGAATGCCAACGTGGACTGTCGTCTCAGATAAGTGAATGCCAACGTGGACTGTCGTCTCGGATAAGTTGATGCTAACGTGGACTGTCGTCTCGGATAAGTTGATGCTAATGTGGACTCTCGTCTCGGATGAGTTAGTGCCAACGTGAACTCTCCTCTTGGATAAGTTAATTTTAGTCGCTAGGTGATCCCCGTACTGACGCAAGGGTCCCTTCAAATTCACATTAAAACACCTCCAGCTGCTTAGTACTGAAAACCGTCCTGTTTCTGCTATATCTCGGACGATCCTTTGATTCTATAGGCAATTCATAAGATTCTGTACTAAGTAATTTGAAAAATATTCATTCTTTATTGTTGTTGTTAATAACTTTACTGGCAGTGGTAAATTTCAGAGGTAAAATATTTAATGTAACTTACGTTTGACAACTAAGTTTCTTTATTAAATTCTAATGCAAATAATAAAAAATACCTTTTCACATGTATAAAAATAGTAACATATTTAGAATATGAAATACATTATTCAAGTACGTTCAACGTTATCAGTTACTCTAATTTTTAAATACGTTGTATATTTTATTTTCAACGAAACATTTTGAAATTATTAGCTTACATATGTTTATAATGTTGAATTGTTGTTAGTTTTTTTCTTGTGCACTGTATATTACACTTTTTATAGTGAAGAAACATACGGAAAAATAAATAATCCAAATATTCCGAGCATGTAAAAAAAAAAAAACAGTTTTAAGTGTATATTTCACCCAGTGCACAATGGATGTAATTATAAGGTCTGAAAACAATACGTAACATTTCTGTTTTGTCTGTGAGAAAATAGTTATATTTTTTCATTGTTTTTTTTCAAATGACATTGATCACTCCTTATACATGGTCTCAGTCTCACCAATGTCAGTTAGGACTAAGTCCTATCGGTTGCAGTGCCTATTAGCCTTCTCCACAATGCCCTATCTTCAAACGTAGCCTGTTCTTCAACTTCTTCAATTTATTTCCCTCTTCTTTCAAGATCATCTTTCATTCCTTTTACCCATTTCATTCGAGGCGCGGTTGATGTTTCTTGAGCCAAAATTTAATCATCATCAGATCTGAAGAGTTTTAGATATTTATCTTCTATAAATACACTTGCCAACTTTACAGCTTTAAGAATTAGGAAAATTTCATAAATATATATTTTACTCATTGTCTGAATGTAGATTGAGTTGAAATGACTTACGGTGGCAGACCAGCCTAATTAGTAGGGTAACTTCCAAACCAGACGGGGGGGGAGAGAAGAAAAAGCAACCATTGTGGTAGTCCCAGTGACATGACTCTGCGTAAAGATCATAGACTCCGTAGACTACAACTCTCGCAACCTCAACCTTGACCAATTCAACCATTATATTACATAGTATGCGATTACTGGAACTAATACGAGGAGCTGTATTACTGGTACTGACACCTGTGAAAAGTAATCGTATGTGTGAATAAAAGAGTGAAACTAACTAACACTAAAATACAAGAAAAATGAAAACAACATAAAACATAATAATAAAGATACAGGGCCACCCAGAATAAAACAAAGTGGCTGTGAGATTTATAAGACATAATAAACGGCTAACTGTTTTATTATACATGTTGAAAACGTCTAGACATAACAGAATAAACAGAGTTAATTTCCTGGGGAAATCTTATACTATAAGCCTCCGTTAAGCTCGCTCTGTACGAACTTAGCAAGTATTTCAATTATGGTTTAGAGGCCTAAGATACTTGGATTCCCCACTTCTCAACTAGTTAAAGTAATATTTCCTTTTGTAGATGTGAGGACTATAAATGAATTACAATACGAGATCAATAAATGTTTTATGAAAGACGTTCTACATGTAAATTGCAACCTCGGTGAGGTATAACAGTAGTACAACGTAGCTTTCTTAGGATTCTACGTCAGTGAGATGTTATAAAGCTAGGAATAAGCATCACTATAGCTCAATCTCACTGAAACGTAATAAGGATAGGTTTGAACGTCAGCGATACGTTATAACGGTTAGGACCGATCCTCATTATGACTCTCTCTCAAAGAAACGTAGTAAACGAAAGTTCTAGCCCAGCGAGATGTTATAAGGTTAGGTTTGTTTTTAAGTTCGCGTAAAGCTACTCGAGGACTATCTGCTCTAGCCGTACCTAATTTTATAGTGATAGACTGAAGGGAAGGCAACTAATCAACAACACCCACTGCAAACTTTTGAGCTACTCTTTATCAACGAATCATCACATTATTACACTCCCACGGCTGCAAGAGCGAACATGTTTGGGGATGGGATTCGAATCCACGACCCTAAGATTGCAAGTCGAGTGCCCTAATCACCAATCCATTCCAGGTCCTATAAGGCTAGCACCAAACGTCGTTGTGATTCTGTTTCAGTGAAACATAATAAATATAAGATTGAATGTTAGCGGAACGTTATAAAGGTAGGACCGAGCCTCAATATGACTCTATCTTAATGAATCATAATAAAGAAAGTGGTTGAAGGTTAGCGGAACGTTATAATCCTTAATATGGGTCTATCTCAGTGAGATGTAATAAGTGTATGAAAATATAATTACGATGAGTGATAAAGTATTATATAAAATCAATAAAATAATAATAAGATTATAGCACAAAATAATTAATTAATCATTTTATCAGCAGTTATATACCTGAGTATTAAGAGAAGTTGCTTTTTAAAAAAATAGTAATACAAAACAAATAAATGATTTCTTTAGGCATTATATTGAGCAAATTAAATGATAATTTTTATTTTGCTTATTAAGTTTTGTGGCCTGGCATGGCCAGGTTGTTAGGGCTCTCGACTCGCAATCTGAGGGTCGCGGGTTCGAATCTCCATCCGACCAAACATGCTCGCCCTTTCAGCCGTTGGGGCGTTATAATGTGACTGTTAATCTCACTATTTGTTGGTAAAAGAGTAGCCCAAGAGTTATCGGTGGGTTGTGATGACTAGCTACCTTTCCTCTAGCCTTTCACTGCTAAATTAGGGACGGCTAGCGCAGATAACCCTCGTATAGCTTTGCGCGAAATTCAAAACAAACAACCAAAATTAAGTTTTGTAACTTGACTGAAGAAAGTATCCACGAATGACGTATCAAACCACGCAATGCATTGAACACTTAGAAAGTGGAGAGCTACAACAATGTTCATAGTAGAGTGTATTTGTTAATGGGGGATACTAGTATCATTCAAGAATGAGATATATTTAAAGCATTAATACTTTCTATACCTTCGATCATCACGAGGTAGAGCATGAAAGTAAACTGAATTCAAAACTTAGTTACCTGATATCAAATAAGTATAAACTTATATGTATTCAATGTCAATAATAATTTAGAAAAAAATAACATATTTGCTTAATTAATGGTTTCTAAAAACAAATATAAATATAATCAACTCAGCAATACCATTAACGACCATTTGTTTCGTCTCACTTGCAAAAGCATCTGAGAAGCATTTAATTAAATTTAATATAATATTAAAAATAATTCTCTATTTTTTTTATTCCACGAAAAATTTTAAGAAGTTTTGTTTATTCTGTTCACAACGTTTCACCAGGTATCATCAGGCGAGATCTAAGAACTGAGGTTAACTGAACCTAATTTAAAATAAGAGAATCACTTTAGTATATCCAACAATACTAACCTACAAAATATGTGATTCAGCAATTGTAAGTTTAATAAAGTGTTTTATTAATGAACTATCAGATATATAAATATAGAAATAAGGCTTTAAGGGCTAAGTCTAAGTATTGAAATTTGTTTGTTTGTCTCACCAATATAATAGCTTTTGCAATCTTTAGATTCCGTTGCATACATATTTCCTGAAGTATCATTGTCTACAGTTTTTTTCCAGATAGAAATGTAAATTGTACTTTAATCTTTAGATTCATATGAATCTAACTATATAATTTTGAGACATTTTAGAACGTTGCCTGATGAATAAAAATGCAAATTTTGAAACATAATTACACTTAGGACTGTTTTGCAGTAAAAATGACTGTATATTTAACCATATGTTTACCACAGATTAGTTGCAAATGATAGTCACAGAGACCAGGCTTTGAAAACGTAATCCCTCTCACTATTGGAACGTTGTATTTTTTTCCTTCGATAGCATACTGTGTTTATATATACCTCCGTTATCATCACTTGTTGTCCTCCTTAAATCATAATGGATAATGCTTGTGGTCATAGCACCCAAATGCGTTGGGGATATTCCAGTTTTCAGATAAAAATCCAAACGCCGATGTAAAACTCGCCAGCAACTAAGGCAAATAAAAGGGTTAGGAGTTCTGTAGAAATTTAGCGTGGCTCATTTCTACTATAAAAATATAATTATTATTTTTTTATATCTTATAATATCAAATAATAGGACGAGTTCGGAACAAATTCGGGGTGGCTCATTTCTACTATAAGAATATTGTTATTATTTTTTATAACATCAAACAAAAGGGTGGAAATTTGGAGTTTTACTTTATAGAATTTTATTGGGGTGGTTTAATTCTGTGTTAAAGGTATTTCTGAATATTAAGGGTAACTGCCTTCATGCAACTGGCGGCAGACAGCGAAAGACAGTTGGAGTTGAAAGAGTGCACAGAATTTAACTTTAGCCTATAACAACCGATCTCTGTCAACATTACTCTAAGTTAACTGTACATGATGGATTACCAGGGTAGGTCTGTCATTACGAAACCTCTAATAACACCAAAAATACGTAAAATCACGAGTAAAATGATGTCAAGAACATAAAAATTGGGCTGAACGTCAATAGAAGAATGTGGCTTTATGAGATGAATCATCTTCTACATTCTTCCCATCAATGGACGTGTTTATGTGTGTGGTGAAAACTAAAAGAACTTCACAGTCCTGAATGTCTTGCGCTATTAGTTAAGCGTGGTAGAGGTTCTGTGATGATATGGAAGTCTTTTGATTGAATAGCTTAGACTCTACGATCTCTCTGAAAGCAAAGTGGTAGCAAATGATCAAGTCTATAATCTCACTGAAAGGTAAAGTGTTAGCAAATTATCACTTTAACTTTATTGCAGACCAGTTTCATCCTATGATGTGCACTTTATTTCTAAACGGATCTGGTCTCTTTCAGTAAGACAGTGAACCAATTAATACTACTGAATTAAAGATTTGTGCAAAGAACATAAGGAAGAGTTTTATACACCTAATTTGGTCACGACAGTCACCAGGTTTAAATTTTATCGAGTCTTTGTAATCAGTTCTTGAAACCAATAATCGAAGCAAACTTCCACTATCAATGACTCCTAAACAATTATAATACTTGGCGAATAATCCAAAATATCATTCTCTGATGTACAACGCCTTGTTTCGTCAATAAAACGTCGTATTAATTCTACATTTTCTGTGCTTTGCAGTCCAACTCCATGTTAATAAATGTAGAAATTAAAAGGTGTTTTCAATATATTTTGTCCAACCCGTGTGTATCACACATAGAAAAGACAGTTCGAAAAGTTTGGTAAAGTAATAAAAGTATTTTCGTGACTTTAATGATATCAATGGTTTAAAAAAGACATCTTCAAGAAAAGAATACAACTGAGATATAAAAAAAAATTAGCGCAAACTTTTACTGAACAGTTAGTAGGATCTTGAAATACAATGCTAATTTCGAAATTTAAGTTCTTGAATAATGTCAAGGAGAACTGCAATTTCATATTGCTTATTTTACTCAAATACCAAGTTTTACTTTATTGTGCTATTAAGTGAATTATCTTATTTTTAGGAGTTCATCCTTATTATATGAAAATGCTTAAGTCAATTAATTTAATTTTATATTGAAACTACTTGCGAATACTTTTTCTGTTTGTTTGTTTTAAATTAAGCACAAAGATACACGATGGGATATCTGTGCTCTGCCCACCACGGGTATCGAAACCAGGATTCTAGTGTTGTAAGTCCGCAGACAAACCGCTGCGTCACTGGAAGCAATACGTTTTCTAGTATTTAACACATTCTCTAAGAAATTCTCAATATCTATGTGAGAAAAATCTAGCTTTTATAGTTACAGCCAGTGTTCTGTATTGTTATATACCAGACGAAATATTTTTGTTCTTGTTTTCATTATGTTCAATCAGTGCATGACAATAGAACAGGTTGATTCTCAAGCTGAGGCCATTAACTGCCATATGACTAATGAACAAAGGTTAGTAGGAGAGTCTAATGGAGTAGAAAGTATACAATAATTGTACCCTAGCTGAAACGTGCTAGGCTTGTAAGAAAGTTAGCTTAATCTTGACAGTACAGTGTCTTATAATTAATGCATGTTATAGTTTGTGTTATTTGTAAATATCAAAGGTTATCGAGCTGTCAGCTTATTAAAGGAACTTGCTCCTCAGATAAATTTGAGGAACACAACCCAAATACTTTAAACCATATACAGAGTTTGGT